TGCTACAGTACCGATTCGCTGAATGGTGACAATCTACACTGCTACATAAATCAGCCTTAATTTCGATATCTTAACGCATTTGCTTATGGACTCTGACAAGTCTTACTACGACTTACAGGATAATATTCAATAAAGGCTTTCCTTGCTTATTTATTATCACATGATTATAATTATTTCTTTCACTTAGACTGACTATAATTTCGAAATAATTGATCAATATTTTATTTTCAAAGGCATCTTGAGTTTCACTTACATTTTGTGTTTGATTTACCTTGCTTTGCGTCAACATTTATGAAAATACTCCTAGAGTCGGTAGGTGGGGTTTTCTGGTTTGTGCCATTCTCCGATTCTTGGTGGAGTTGGGCTACCTGAAATTCCACAAGCGCTGTTTTTTAATGGCGCATCTCGTTCATTCAATAATTGGCTTGAAAGTCTTTTCTGCATCAGTGTTTGCAGCACACTAATTACATTTCTTTTAATGTACCCTACATTTTTAAGTTCGAGAGATAGTGTGAATTAACTGGAAGTGTTGTCAGAATATGTACTTGAAGCGTATGCTTATTAGATAGCTGTTCTTTAATGCACCTGTTTAATTCCACCTTTCTGCCCATAATGTGTGAGATAATGCGGCCATCACCGAACGGAAATCGTATTTGCAATTTGGAGAGTGTCAATATGCACGTCAAAGTCTTCTACTTACAAATTTAATGCTTAGTTCTCTTTTCGGAATGTAGATATGTTCCCTTCTGCCGCAAATATAAAGTTAGATGAGCCGTCCAAGGACACTCATCTCAAGTCAGATAGTTGGTTACAAAACTCCTCGTACAAACCGAAAAATTTAAGTGCTTCTCAGGTTCAAAATGTTAAACTGGAAGGCGGACATCACAGACCCAAAAAGTAAGCTTTGTCATTTTCGTTATTTTCAACTGAAGTATGCTTATATAATCCTTGATGCAATGTTAGGTTCTACTTTTATTATGCCAAAACTCACATTTCACTAGCTCCATTTCTATACTTTTAAGACATCGAATGAGATCTCGCAGCCCTCAGCCGGTGGTTTATGAGAAGCAAACAGCCCCAACGCCTGAAATGTATCGCATTGATACTAGTAGTAATCCATACATATACAAATTTGGATGCATATACGAAGGCGAGGTGGCCAAATTTCGTCAAGACTTACAAGTACCGATCCTTGGGTTCCATGGGACCTTGTGCAATTTACATCTCGATCCTGAGGCTGTAAAAGCTGAAGTCAAACGGAATCGAGCGAAGCGCTACTTTAGCAAGAAGAATCGGTCTCGCATTGCCCAAACTGCAACCTCGATTTTCGTTCCTATGAAACCCTCAGACGACAGTATTACACCATGTTTTCTTCCACAAGATGGGGTCGTATCCTTTGTAGCTCCAGAGCCCGTTTCGCGACCATCAGATCACCTTCAGAGCATCGCTGATTTGAACCGTGCGGTGTATGATACTCCGAGTGACCTGAAGTCTTGGCTCAAGCTGATTCAAATGGAAGTGCTAAAAGAGGAAACTGGGAGAGATAGTCAGGACCCCTCTAAACAACATTGTTTTCTCATCCTGGAACGACAGTTGGCCATAGTGGAGCGAGCGGTGGAAAAAAACCCAGGCAATCTGCGCTTGCGCTTGCTATTGACGGCGATGTATGAGTACTCCACGGAGCTCATTGCAAGTGGCGTCTGTCGCACAACTACTCCCTCATCAACTGTGCCCGAGTCTCCTCACCACAGAGATAGAGTTTTGCGTGAATGGTATGATCTCGTCCGCATTTGCCCTCAATTTGTAAGTGTATGGCGTGGTTACCTGGCGCATCTGCGTGGTCGCTTTGCTATCTTTGGTGCCAATCTGGAGTCTGGTCCAAACAGTGCTTTCAAACGCATTGATGAGGTCTACAGACGGGCTCTCGAGACTCTCTCAGGTCTTATTGCTGGACGCATACTCTCCCATCGGCCTACGGAGCAAACAGCAGATCAGACTGTTGGTAAGGCTCTTAGCCACCCTATTGCAACTAATCCGGCTTTATTTCTTTCCAGATCTACTCGCGGAGTACTGTCAGTGGTTAACACATACGGGTTTCACTGAGCGGGCTTTTACAATATGGCAGGCGGTTGTTGAGTTTATATGTTTCTGTCCTTCTCATCTCCAATTGCGAGATCTTGCTTCTTCTGCTGAACGACGGAGCGAATTTAAGCGCTTCTGGACTGCGGATGATCGCGGAGCAGCGTTTGGTGTTCCTGGTGCTAGGGGATGGGCTATATGGTGTCTTCGGGAGAGGCAAGTGAAAGAAAAGCCTATCACGAGTGTTGTTTCCCATGATCGTCTTTTTTTGAGGGAGATTGAAGAAGACTGGAGCTCCTCCTCATCGACTGCACAGACCTTGTGGAATCGATTAGTCAAGGATTGGAATGGTAGGAAAATGGTTTTCTGATTATCATTTCATTGATTGCTTGTTGTTGAAAGTCTTATATGAACACGAACTTTGCTGCTTACCTTATTTTTGTATTTTGCGATTGATGTAGCATAGCTCCATTCCATTCAAACGTAATTTCGTGCTGAACAGGTTTGTTTTTTTCGAAAATATAAGCGATCACAGTCTTGAGAATTTAATTTTCCTGCAGAATGCGGTAGAGTAGCACTTCTTCATATCAGGGTAATGTTCCCATTCACTGACTGTTAGTAGTTTATAAATTACAGTGGGCGCCGTCGCACTTCTTTCTGTCCTTATTAATATACACTTGTTCTAGATGTCAGTGAGGCGGCAGAAGATGCCCTCTTAAATTCTTCGAGTCTTTCCTGTGATGATACTAATACAACCACAACCAACACTACTACTTTAAGAACCTATCACGCGGGTGATGGCAGTCTTAGCTGTCGACGCTCCCGTGGCCTTGCGTGGCTCGGTCTTGAGCGTGCACGCGAATCTGTGGGTTGGTTGTCAGCGGACACAACTATGTACGATCCCTCTATCATCGAGGATGCTGATAGACAGCCCCGTTTTGAGGATATCGAACCTTTCCTGCTAGAGGTTCACTTGGATCCTAGAGTGTCTGATGAAAATGTAATTGAACGCCGAAAACAACGGCTCCTTCTTCTCTTCCTCGAGTTTTTGGGTATTTGGGATGCTGATGTTGCTAGAGAGTACAGACTGCCCCCTGGTAAGGAGTCCTTTTATCTCTAGGAGGAAGGGAGCTGAGTAAGCATTGGAAATCAAGAGGTCTTTAAATTTGCTTAGAACTACAGCAAATCTACGAACTGTCGTCAATGAGTTGCCTGAAACGACAAAGTATTAGCCCGCGTCAGTTCGGTTTTCCGTGGCTTCGTTCCGGTCTTGAGGAAGGCAGTGGAGACTTGGATGTCAACTTTAGAATGCGGTCAGTTTTGGTGGCGTCATCCTTGGAGCAGGCGTCGCGTCTCTTCCTCAGCGATACGACTTGGCAATCGACAATTGGACGGTTGAGATTTCGTCACATGGCCGATTCTATCGAACGGGCATTGGCAAATCATTGCATTACTCCAAGGGTGATTATTCATACAAATATATATTTGTACTGATATCATTTGAGCAGAACTGCAAGTTTCTTGTAGGAAGCGCTGGCACTGTGGAGGAAGAAGGCGAAAAGTCTTCTTTCTACTTCAACTCAATCTCAGGGGGACTTGGGTCTCTGGCTAGCCTACGCCAAAGGTCTTGTTCAGACGGGTTGTGCACTGTCAGAGAATAGTTCCCTCTTCGCAGAAGCTCGCAAAGTCTTTACTACAACTCTGCGCATGTATCCTATTCCAACCATTTTATCTATGGCCGTGGAAACCAACTTGGAAGAACAACTGAGTATTATTCTGCCACGTTTAAGGGTCCTTTATGTAAGAATGTCTCGGACGGTATAACTTGGTCTAACTGTACTGTTTCTTGGTTTTTGCAATCAATGAAGTCCATAAATGATGTATTGGGTTCATTCAAAGGTGTCTGAACTTGAATAATTTCCTATTACACCTTTTGAATCTCCGTTCACTTCAATGTTTGATTCCTTCCTGATTTGGGAGAGGCAGTCTTACAAAAATATGGAATAACTTTTCACCGATTTTTACATCACAATTTCAGGCTTTCGTGGAGTTCGAGTTGGGAGTTCATTTCCCTTTTTACCTGGCCCAAACCCTTTCACGTAGTGAATGTTTTTCGCGTGCTCTGCACCTAATACGACATGCGGCCATAGGCGGGACCTTCACTTTACTGCCGGAAGGCCAATTGACACCAGTACCGCATAGCGCTCTTGTCGACACTGCTGACCAGCTAGTTCAGCGCCTTGAATTGTTACGTCGCCTCCTTCCAAGCACAGACCAAACTTCAACTTCCTATTCCGTCTATTCGGTTGCTGAATTGACCGCAATTTTGAGCTCTCTGCTTCTGTATTTACACTTGCTCACTTCCGGTGAAGATGTGAGCAAAAAGTTATTTTTATTCTATCTGATCGATTGGTGCAAGAGGTTGAAACAAGTATTTTTTTTGTATCCTTGCAGAAATTGAAGCCAATTTGTGGACTGATCTTTTCGGCCTTGCAAAGTGTTGATAGTAATTGGGGCAGTGAACCAAAGCGATTGAAGGCAGAGGAAAGCGGAAGCAGTAACGAAGGTACGCGGGCCGTTATGGCGGGTTGCGGATCGCGCCGCTTCATACGACTTGCACTCCCTGCCATATCTGCGGTCAGTTTGCTTAGTCAACGTAACCGGTCGCACCTCACAGAGACCTTCCTCAATCTGATGTCAGATTTCTTCACTGATGAAACACTACCTCTCCTCACTTCGCCACTCGAGTGGACTTACCTCCTGCCTTTCAAGGTAGCAGTAAACTGTGGTGCCTATGTCACAAAGACCTGCTCTATCGAGTGAGTCTATCTCCTTATGAGCATAGTTGCTTCCAGTTTGTCACACTACCAATAGTTGTCCTCTGTAGACTTAATGTCCTGCCTCAATTTGGGCAAATATTGAAGAGCTCCTTTGAACACTTTTCTCTAAACAATTGGCCGAACATTCTGCAGTCGCTTTTCAACGGTTTCGACTTAAGTTTTGTGCATTTTGGCTCTACCCAGATTCTATGATGATTCACGTTATCTCTATCAATTTGTCGTGAAATTCTTCCGTTAAGTGTTATTAATAGCCTACGTGTCTTTCCCATCACCATATCTGAATGTGAACATTAAATCTTACCATGGGTAGTCTCCGTCAATTGTTTTAAGTAAAGCATAGTATTTTACTTTTGATCGGCTTCCACGTAGGCATTATCAAATGTGTTTGCGGTTGGATTCAAATGCACATTCGTTTGCGAGGAATGTGCATTAAGGACAAATGAATTCGATCATTAAGGCTTTTTGATAGGTAAAGAATAGCAAATGCTGCGTTGGATTAATGAGAGTTAATTAGCTGTATGTGTGCAATTTTTCTAACCCTCAATATGTTCCACGAAATGGTTTTGTTTTCTCGGCAGCTTAGGCTAGAACTTCAAATGCGTGTTCTGGTAGTCTTATTCTATTATTTAATGGAAATATCCGGTTGCTGGTTTATTTCACGAATTTTTTTGTTGAGGTACTGTCATTTTATGCTTTGGAGGGTAGGCTGTCGACAACACATTGTAGAATGAATTATTTTTTACCAAAAAAGTTCTCTAATAAGGTGCCATCTCTTCTTGCTCTTTCACAGCTGTTTTTTGCAATTTCTTCATTTACTACTTAAGTCACGTGACTACACCACTGCAAACTAATTGCGGTTTGCATCAAAATGAGGAGCAATTTGTATCTAATGAGAAGCAAAAGGCATCACTTTGTGGCATCTCATGTGCACTAGCGTTGAATCTAGGTGGCGAAATGCTTAGACAATGTCGGATAGGATTATGGCGCGGGTGAATATGCCTTTTGAATGTCTATCTTGGTAACCAATGCGTGGTGGAGGTTTTCCTGAGGTTTTGTGCGGTTACTATTTGCCAGAAATAGAATCCATGTTTTCAAGAATGTGCTTTCCATCAGTCAGAAGGACTGTGTAGCTGTGTGCTTGAACGTGCTCTGTTCATCTAAATTGTGGTAGAACTAGGGGAGATCAAAACTGAATGAGTTGTGGCATAGTTTTACCACATTTTACGTTAAACATGCGTTTTCATGGCTATTTGAGGTACCAAAGAAGCCTCCAAGGTCTGCTGCCGCCGCTCATCCTCTCTGCCTTAGAGTCTCGCCTCACTGATTGCGTGCGCGGTGTTTGCCACAGCGTGGCTCGTCATCTTACGGCAACTTGCCACCACGCTACCATGCGGCCGCGCACGCGCTTTGAGGGGGGGACAGAGGAGAATGAAAGAGTTAGCGACCCAACCCACCTGCTTGGCCTCCCCTCTGAACAGCAGACTGAGTTATTGGCACGTCTTCTTCCCTCTTCTCTGGATCTTCTCGCCGTAGGGCTGGAGCTAGAGCACTGGACTAGCATTGTTGCCGGCACTGCTGGTAGTTGTGAGTAAAATGTACATTTTCCCAACCTCATTTCTTACTGCTAATGCAAGAATACGACGTTAAAAGGATAATGACAGTTGGATTTTGGCTTAATGCGAAACCTCACTATGAGGCTTTAGTCGATGCTACAATACGCGTAGTTTGGGCTAGTATTCAACGCATCTACCTTATGTTCTTTCTCTGCTCTACCATTCGAGGCAAGTCCATATTTTTAAGCGTTTTGGGCACCATTCGGCAGACCAGACTATTTACGCAATTGTCAGCTCTGTGTTTAGACTTTATCCAGGAGACCACTTGGTGTTTGTAGTGTTTGGTTTTTTGCGGATTATTAACTATCCATATACTATACAACTCCCTAGATAACCAGGAAATCTTTGCTAACAATGAGCACACCAGTTCTTTTTTGGCCTCAAATTAGTTTTTTGGCCCCATCTTATCGAATTACCAAAGGTGTTTTTTTCATGTGTTCAAGGTTGTACT